GCGAGGCGGGGCGGGGTGGGGGAAAGGCATCACCCACCCTTGCCCCATCCTTGAGGACGGGGATTAAAACGCCCCCCACCCCCGCCCTTATCCCCGAAAAAACCGAGGCTTCCCCGCCCCATATGGAGCGGGGCGGGACGGGACGGGTCCCCGGAATTCCGAGGAACATTACCATGCCTAGAAAAATCGCACTAACTAGAGAGATCTGATTGACTTTGATGGAATCAGATTGAATTGTTGCGTGATTATAAATAATCAGCTAAGAAAAATAAATCAAAAGATAATAACCCTTTTTAAAGTGATTCAGCAAGCTAACTCTCAAGTCTACGTCTATTGTGTGAGATTAGGTTTTGAGAAAGAAAATCAGAGAAGAAACGAGCTGAAACTTTAGGAACTTTTCTAGATGTTTATTTTCAACTTAATCAGTGAGTACAGAGGACTGACTTTTAATCACTCAACTAACATAAGTAAAACGGCACCGTATAGGCATCCACTCTAACTTAAGTGAGAAACGACACCGTTGAGCATTTCTTTATATCCAACATCCCCCCTAAAGCTAGATTGGGTTTGCAGTCGTAGCTTGACACTACTAAGACACCTATTTGACCTTTTAATACATCAAAGTGCACAATTACAATTGCTTCTGACAGCAAATTACAAATGCTAAAAAAAATTTACAAATAAAATTGCTAAAGAATTACAAACAATCTTCAAGTAGCAACTTCAAGTAACTTTAGTGCAGCTCAACACAGCTTCAGATGACTTTAAAGAGCAGAGCAATCTGATATCTTCAAGTGAAAAAAAACAACTGCAGTGTAGTTCAATTTGACACTAGCTTTACCTTTTACACCAGCTTTACTCTCCAATATAGTAATCCAATTTAGCAGTTGCTTTTCAAATAACAACTTCTATACAACTCAACACCAGCTCCCATTGCAAATATAGTAAACAACTCCAATAATGCAAACATCAAACAACAAGCATCACTCATTTTTTTTTTACTAGCCACTAGCTACTGCTACATTTAGTTTGGTCAATGGCTTGTTTAGTGCATTCTCCACTAGCTGCTATTACTATGTTCAACTTATTTTTTAGTGCATTGAATTGAGCTGCTGATAGTGCCTTGGTTAAAATGTCAATAATCTGAAGTTTGGAGGGAACATATTGAACTGCAATGTTCTTAGCAAGTACTTGTTCCCTTATGTAATTAATATCTATCTCAATGTGTTTAGTTTGAGCGTGAAAGACTAGATTTGAAGCCAATGCACCAGCACTGACATTGTCACGCCAGATGACAGGTGACTTGTCAAGTGCGAGTCCTAATTCAGTAAAAAGAGACTACAACTAGGCCACTTCAGTGGCTGTGTGAGCTAGTGCTCTATACTTTGCTTCAGTAAAGCTTAATGCCACAACTTTTTGCTCTTTAGAACTCCATTGAATGAGATTAGGCCCCAAGTATACACAATATCCACTGGTTGACCTCTTATCTTCAGGACTGCTAGCCTAATCAGCATCGACATAACATTCAATTTGCAAATCAACAGCTAGTTTGAATAATAATCCATGATGAAGAGTCCCTTTGAGGCACCTTAGTACCCTTTTACAAGCTTGCCATTGTTGGATAGTGGGAGCTTGTAAAAATTGACTAAGCCGATTGACTGTAAAACTAATATTAGGTCGGGTAAGTGCTAGGTATTGTAATGCTCCTATAGTGCTTTGGTAAAGACTAGGATTGTCAAAGAGAGCACTATCTGTAGGGGACAACTTACTACCAAGAGCCATATGAGTAACACACGGATGAGCTACTGACATTTGAGTTTTAGACAATAATCTGTAGCATATTTGGACTGCTTAAGATGAATGCTAGCTGAGTTCCTAGTCACTTCCAAACCAAGAAAATAATGCATAGCTCCAAGTGTTTTAAGTGCAAATTGATCATTGAGATTTTGTACCAAGTGATGAACAAATTCACTATCTGATCCAGTGAATAGAATATCATCCACATATATGAGTACATATGTAACTTTGCCTCTTTGCTTATGAATAAACATGCTAGTATCAGAAACAGAATTTTGAAATCCTTTCCCAAGTAAACATTTATCAATTTGTCAAACCAGGCCTTAGGGGCTTGTTTTAGGCCATAGAGAGCCTTATGAAGTTTGCATACATAAGTGGGCTTAGTCTGATCAATGAAACCAGGAGGTTGGAACATATAAACATTTTCATGAAGTTCACCATTCAGAAAAGCATTATTTACATCTATTTGCTGAATATCCCAATTGTAAGTAGCAGCTAAGGTGAGTATAATTCTAATAGTGGAAGGTTTGATGATAGGGCTAAATGTCTCAAAATAATCCAACCCAGCAGTTTGTTGGAACCCCTTTGCAACTAACCTTGCTTTATACTTTTGCAATGTCCCATCAACATGAAATTTGGTTCTAAAAACCCATTTATTCCCTATTACATGCATATCAGTTGTGAAAGGGACAAGGGACCATGTATTATTGCCTAGCAAAGCATCAAATTCAAGTGTCATAGGTTGTTTCCATTCTAGTGAAGTGAGAGCCTCAGAAACTGAAAGTGGCTTAGGAATAAGAGTAATTGTTGCTAAACAAGCAGTATGATTAGAACATATTGCTTTGGCTTTAGTAAGAGCTGTTGATTTTGCTCTAGTAATCATGGGATGGAGATTAGGACAGACAGCTGATTTCTTAGGAGAAACCGAGGACTGTAGGTGACATAGATAAACTTCAAGAAGACAAGTGGAGAATGACTGATTTGAGGGAACAGATTGTGGAGATTTAAGAGATGTGTATGATGGACCAAGTTGGGAAGCAACAGGGGATTGTGAAGAAGTGACTAGGATATCATTTGATGTTGATGAATGACTTTGGAATCAAGAAGCAAGAAAAAGGAAAAATGAGAAAATAGCAAAAATTTTGGAAAACCGATTATAATATTTCCACTGAACTGAATGAATAGTACAAAGGTAATTGGCTTGTTTTTATACATCAAGCCATAACATCAAAACGGTAGTGTTTTGATGTTTAAGAAAACTACTTTTACTTTTTACAAAGTGCACCCTACATTAACTTCTACAACCTTATTCTATTATACTAATATTTCCCCTTAAACTGGACATAGTAATTGTTAGGGCCAAAAATCATCCTTGGCCCAAATAGGAGAATGGGACTGAATGAGAAAGAGACCAGGCCCAATCCCGATGCGGCCCCATCCGGATTAGGCCCATTTGATACGAGATACAGTCGGCCCAAACCATCGGGTCCGGGCCTCCAAATCCTAGTTCACTTCCTGGACCTATGAGCAAGTCCAGAGCCCACGACACCCACATATCACTTTCCTATTCCAGATCGGTCTCCTATTCGAGGTCACCTTCCTATTTAGGTCACTTTCCTACTCAAGGTTACTTTTCTGTTTGGGATCACCTTCCTATTCGAACACTGGTAAGACAGCTCACCACCGCCCTAATTCCTCTATGGTTTGTATTAGAGTCTCACTAGGACTCCTACTCCTACTAGGACTAGGAGACCAGACAGTCACTATATAAGCAGAGGCCAACCCTCTCACAAGGGAGATTAGATTATATTACACCTTCACACTTGAAGCTCCTACTTGAGAGCTTCACATCACTACCGTAGTCATAGTCCCCGACTAGACTTCTGGTAACGTCTCCACTCCCTAGCCTTCACTATACTAGCCTCTTTCAGTCTTGCTGACTTGAGCGTTGGAGTGCATACGGCAAACACCACCCCGGTGTTTTCTATTCGCTTCACGCTTGTTTCTCTACGTGTGCAGGTGCAGCGGATCGCTAGTGGCCTCAATCTCATGGGATCAGACCCCTCTTCTGTACAGGTAGATTTTTACATCTATAGTTTGGGGCCTACCGTGGGGCCTCTAGCAATCATTCAGCTTGATGAACCTTGCTACGTAGAGAAATTTTCCATGGTTGACCCTTCGGACAACGCTAACTCCGGCCTCGAGGTTATACTAGAGGCTCTAACCGCTCTCATGCAACAAAATTCAAACAAGATGGCCGCACGAGAAGCTGAGAACAATGCACTCCGGAGGGAAAACGCATCCATCAGGGCCGAAAACTAGTCTCTTAAAGAGAAGGCGAGTCAGTTCTATGATCCGAAGCTTCTGCCTTGCCAGGTACCTCCCAATCGATTCCGCGCCCCAGTTCCATCCATGCGTCCTCTCTAAACCCCAGAGCACAGACCCTCGGCCTCCGATAAAAGGCCACCTCCGTTAAGTTCATCAGTGGTCGATGACTTGATCCTGACTCATGGAGGAAAGGATCTGCCAACAGAACCCCATTCATCCGATCCACCCCAATCTCGAGATCAAGACGCCCAAAAGACAGAGAGTCCACACTTGCAAGACCAACACATTCTTACCATCCAGCCTCACCTCTAGTCAACCATCCCTGCACAAACACCATTCGGCTCGGCTCACCCTCACGGGTTGAACGGCCAACCCAACCAAACTATAACACTTGAGCCCACCCATCCTAACAGACTGAACGAATATCAAACAACCCCCCTGACCATTCATGTAGGGCGAAACACTAGATTAGTTATCATGGGAGTCATTTGACCGGAGGGAATGAACGGAGATCCGGACTACTAGGGTGTGCACGAAGGAATGATCCACCAAACTACACCGCGCAGGATGACCTAACGGAATATGCCAAGGACGAATGCAATGGTTGACCCAATCAAACACAATGACCTAGTGGTATCCCCCCTCCTATGGAACAGGTACTGGCCAAGAGGCTGGCTGATGTAGAGGCAGTGATGAGGCACATCCCAGGAATGTCGATCCCGACCAAGAAGAGCAGGCCTCACTGTTACGCGGATTCACCCTTTGTGGATGAGATCGCCCTAGCCGACGTGCCCCAGAAGTTTACTATTCCCAGCATGAAACCCTACGATGACACAACCAACCCAGATGATCACATAGCCTCGTACAAGCAGTAGATGTTCACTGTCTCAATACCCCGAGCACTGAAGGAAGCTTGCATGTGCAAGAGTTTTGGTTCAAGCTTATTCGGTCCAACACTCCAGTGGTACACAAATCTCCCGAACGGTTCCATTGACTCATTCGCTCAGCTCACTGACAACTTTGTGGAGCAGTTCGCCAGCAGCAAGAAACTCGAGAAGTTGTCGGTCGATCTATATAGAGTATACCAGAGGAGGGGAGAGCCATTGAGAGAGTATGTCAGCAGATTCAACAAAGAGAAGATTTCCATCCTTTCCTGTACCCTTGAGACAACCGTAGACGCCTTCAAAAAATGTCTCCTCCCAGATGGTGAACTATACAAAGAACTGACGAAGCTAGGTTGCACCACGATGGAAGACGCCTTGGCCAGAGCAATGATTCGAATAAGGTGGGAGGAAGATGAGATGAATCAGGCAATTCATGCCAGGTATGACTGAATGTAGAATGACAGGAGGCCAGAGCTCAGATCGATTGTAGGCCCTACAAGGTCACCAAAGAAGCAGGGAAGAGTGCCTACCTACTCCAAACTCCTAAAGGCAAAGACATCAGCAACAATTGGAACGCAATCTATCCCACATGCTACTACTTTTAGGTGAAATCAATCTAAATATTTGTTGTCTTTTCATTTTTTATTTAAAAAGGATGTGTGGGCTCATCCACTGCCTTCATAGACAGTCGGTATCACGCCCTGAATTCAATGAAGCATTATTCAGCAACTGACACCTTCGAATCAGCCTTGCCCGATTCATGAGCTTTCACACTTCGGATCGGCTCTACTCGATCCACAGATTTGCATCTTCGGATCGACCCTGCTCGATCCACGTAATTACACCTTCGGATCGACCCTGCTCGATCTATGGATTTACATCTTCAGATCTATCCTACTCGATCCACGTAATTACACCTTTGGATCCACCTTGCTCGATCCATGGATTTACATCTTCAGATCGACCCTGCTCGATCAAATGTTTATTACACCTTCGGATCGACCTTGCTCGATCCACATATTTGCATCTTCGGATCGACTCTGCTTGATCCACGTAATTACACCTTCGAATCGGCCCTGCTCGATCCACGGATTTGCATCTTTAGATCGACCCTACTTGATCAAATGTTTGTTACACCTTCGGATCGACCCTGCTCGATCCACGAATTTACACCTCTGGATCGACATTGCTTGATCCAACGGATTTACATCTTCAGATCGGCCCTGCTCGATCCACGGATTTGCATCTTTAGATTGACCCTACTCGATCCACTTAATCACACATTCGGATCGACCCTGCTCGATCCATGGATTTACATCTTCAGATCGACCCTGTTCGATCAAATGTTTATTACACCTTCGGATCAACCTTGCTCGATCCACAAATTTGCATCTTTGGATCGTCCATGCTCGATCTATGTAATTACACATTCGGATCAGCCCTGCTCGATCTACGGATTTACATCTTCAGATCGACCCTGCTCGATCAAATGTTTATTACACCTTCGGATCGACCTTGCTCGATCCACGGATTTGCATATTCGGATTGACCCTGCTCGATCCACGTAATTACACCTTTGGATCGGCCCTGCTCGATCCATAGATTTGCATCTTCAGATTGACCCTGCTCGATTCACGGATTTACACCTTCGGATCGACCCTGCTCGATCCTACGGATTTACACCTTCAGATCAACCCTACTTGATCCACGGATTTGCATCTTTAGATCTACCCTGCTCGATTTTCAGATTTTTTACACCTTCGGACCGACCCTGCTCGACCCACGAATTTACACCTTTGGATCGACCCTGCTCGACCCACGGATTTACACCTTCGGATCGACCCTGCTGGATCCACGAATTTACACCTTTGGATTGGCCCTGCCCGATCTATGAATTTACACCTTCGAATCGACCCTGCTTGATCCATATTTCATCTCCGGATTGGCCTTGCATGATTCATGGATCCACACCTTCGATCGGCCCTGCCCAGTTCATGAAGCTACACATTCAGTCGGCCAGACCTAGTGAAGGGTTCTTACACCTCAAAATCAACAAGTCATCGACCCAACCCAACAGAGAGTTCGCACAACTCGGCCACTAGGTTGCACCAAAATCAGAACACAAGCATACGACTCAACTCCACCATCCTCACTCCCTAGGAACCAAGTATTGGACCTCCACTCTATCCGACCGACCGACCGACTCAACTCCACCATCCTCATTCCCCAGGAACCAAGTATTGGATGTCTATTCTACCTGACCGACCGACCGACTCAACTCCACCATCCTTACTCCCTAGGAACCAAGTATTGGATCTCTACTCCACTCGACCGACCGACCGACCGACTCAACTCCACCATCCTCACTCCCCAGGAACCAAGTATTGGATCTCCGCTCTACCGACCGATCGATCGACCGACTCAACTCCACGATCCTCACTCCCTAGGAACCAAGTATTGGATCTCCACTCTACCCAGCCGACCGACCGACCGATTGAACTCCACCATCCTCACTCCCCAGGAACCAAGTACTGGATCTCCACTCAACCCGACCGACCGACCGACTCAACTCCACCATCCTCACTCCCTAGGAACCAAGTATTGGATGTCCACTCTACCCGACCAACTGACCGACCGACTCAACTCCACCATCCTCACTCCCCAGGAACCAAGTATTGGATCTCCACTCTACCTGACTAACCGACCGACCGATCAACTCAACTCCACTATCCTCACTCCCCAAGAACAAAGTATTGGATCTCCACTCTACCCGATCGACCGACCGACCGACCGACTCAACTCCACCATCCTCACTCCCCAGGAACCAAGTATTGGATCTCCATTCTACCCAGCCAACCGACTGATTGAATGAACTCCACCATCCTCACTCCCCAGGAACCAAGTATTAGATCACCACTCTTCCTATGCCACTGATCGACCGACCGACCCGGTCTTTTCAAACTTTGACTATCACCACGCACCCCACCCCACACCACCGATCAACACACAACTTAACCTGTCTAAAGATTCAATCGCCCTTCTTACCCGACCGAGCCAGCACATTGCAACAGGTTGGCTCCCAAAACGAAGCCGACATTCTCATGCTTCACATCTAGGAGATTCTCCCAATCAGGGCGATTGGCTAGGAGCAGTCTAGCACTTATTCACCCTCGAGGCAATCAAGCCAAGGGGCCTCGCCCATTCGGTCTTCCATAGTGGACGAGTGGGCAGCCGTGGGTCAAATGTTTGTGCATTTTGTTTGGCCCTTTGGCATCCAGTAAAGAGCGCCGTGGAATCACAAGGCAAGTCTTACGGTCCAACAAGCCGGCCGAGCCGATTCCATCCCACTCGATCACCCGAGTACCCCAACCGAATGAACCTTTAATTTAACATCGTCTCCAACTCATTCAACCTGACAGGCCGAGCGGATACTCCTGTCATGGGATTTTAGCTCTCCAGTCGGCAGGACACATCGAATGAGCACATGAGCCCCAAAAGTCTTGTTATCTCAGTCCCTTCGACCCTTCACACTGATCGGGCACACTCTTTTGGGTGATTGCACATTTCGGATCAGCCTTGATATCGAGCGACCCTTGACTACGAATCATCTACATCAAACTGGTCAGCTACGCCGATAATCGGCGGTCCAAGAAGGGAGACCGAGCGTGCCTTGATCGCTTCCTACTCTCTGACTTAAGAAAAACTTAACTCAGAGAGTAGGGGGCAAACTATTAGGGCCAAAAATCGTCCTTGGCCCAAATAGGAGAACAGGACTGAATGAGGAAGAGACCAAGCCTAATCTCGATACGGCCCCATCGGATTAGGCCCATTTGATACGAGATATAGTTGACCCAAGCCATCAGGTCCAAGCCTTAAAATCCCAGTTCACTTCATAGACCTATGAGCAAGTCCAGAGTCCACGACACCCACATATCACTTTCCTATTCCAGATCGGTCTCCTATTCGAGGTCACCTTCCTATTTAGGTCACTTTCCAACTCGAGGTTACTTTTCTGTTCGGGATCACCTTCCTATTCGAACACTGGTAAGACAGCTCACCACCGTCCTAATTCTTCTAGGGTTTGTATCAGAGTCACAGTAGGACTCCTACTCCCACCAGGACTGGGAGACCAGACAGTCACTATATTAGCAGAGGCCAGCCCTCTCACAAGGGAGATTAGATTACATTACACCTTCACACCCGAAGCTCCTACTTGAGAGCTTCACATCACTGTCGTAGTCGTAGTCATAGTCCCCGACTAAACTTCTAGTAACGTTTCTACTCCCTAGCCCTTACTATACTAGCCTCTTTCAACCTTACTGACTTGAGCGTCGGAGTGCCTACGGCAAACACCACCCTGGTGTTTTCCGTTCGCTTCATGCTTGTTTCTCTACGTGTGTAGGTGCAGTGGATCACTAGTGGCGTCAACCTCAAGGGATCAGACCCCCTTCCGTATAGGTAGATTTTTACGTCTATAGTAATGTGCCAGTGTACATCAATATTTCCCCATAAGATGAACCTTATTTCTTTTATAGTCTTCAGCATGTATCATAGCAATTACTATAAGACTAATCAACAAATGTTCCAAACTCTCCAGAAAATCTTCATTAAAAAAAAAAAAAAAAAAAAAAAAAAAAAAAAAAAAACACACCAGGATAGTTCTTTATGATTCCAACAAATCTTCATCAAAAAACACTAGGACAGTTCTTTATGACTCCACCAAATCTTCATAAAAAAACTTCAGCAAATCAAAAGAAAAACTAACGACTCTTCAGCAAAAAACTCCAAGGACTATCAAAATCTTCAGCAGAAGACTCCAGGGACTTATAACAGACTCTTCAGCAAAAGACCCCGGGGACTTATCAAGAGCAGTCAATGTTTCAACAATCAGAATGAAACTTCACAGGATTTTCATCTTCAGTAAGCAAACTACTGTCTTTAAGAAGACTGTTATCTAATTCATTATCAACTGCAACAATTACCTTTAACTTGGCTCGGAGAGTTTGAAACCTAGAACTTGGAAGTGCCTTGGTTAGAATATCTGCAACTTGATATTTTGTACCAACATATTGAACACATAGCTTCTTCTCTACAGCTAACTCCCGGACATAATGCACATCTATTTCAATGTGCTTAGTGCGTGCATGAAAAACAAGATTCGAAGAGAGAGCACCAACACTCATATTGTCACACCACAAAACATGAGTGTTGTTAATAGTTATACCAAGTTCTTGAAACAAGTGTTGAATCCAAACCAATTCAGTGGATGCTTGACTAAGAGCTCTATACTCAGCCTCTATTGAGGATAAAAAGACAACCTTCTGCTTTCTAGAAATCCATTGGACAAGGTTCCCACTAAGGAAGATACTATACCCGTTGGTTGATCGTCTATCACTTACATCACTAGCCCAGTCTGCATCAGCATATCCTTCAACGATGAATTCTGAGTT